ACCCTAGGTGTCAGCCCCCCGGGGGGGGGGGGGAACCCGAGGATCGTCCAGAATTATAGCTCATCTCCAGGCTACGGAGTTCCCCTGGAGGAAATGGCTGCTTTGGAGGGTGGAGTCTATGGCATTGTACCTAGCTGAGGACCCTGTCCTCCAAGCGAAGAGCCAGTTTGGTGTAGTGGTTAGGTTCGCGGACTCTAATCTGGGAGAATGGGGTTTGATTCTCTGCTCCTCCACATGCCTCCAGCTGGGTGACCTTGGGTCAGTCACAAGTTCTCTCAGAGCTATTCTCTCAAGGGCAGTTCTCGAAAGAGCTCTCTCAGCCCCACCCACCTCACAGGGTGTCTGTTGTGGGGAGGGGAAGGGAAAGGAGATGGTCAGCCACTCTGAGACTCCCTCGGGTCTATGGCATCCTACCCCGCTAAAGTCACTGTCCTCCTCGGGTTCCGTTCCTGAATCTCCAGGAGTTTCCTGGCCTAGATCTGGCAACCGTTCCCTCTAAGCTGTGGAGTCTTGTGAGCAAAAATTCTACTTTATGAGCTATTGGCATTAAAGTTGTGAGCGAGCGATTTGGCTGCTGCATAAATCAGTTTGCTCTGGAGCCCTCCTTCCTGAGCGAAGCCACAAATGTGTGAGCTGGAGGCTGAAAAACTGTGAGCTAACTCACACTAACTCTGCTCCCCATCCTCCACCGGTGGCCAGGGTGTGCTCGGCAACCCTACCCACAAAGGACGGTTTGCCGGTTAGGGTTTAACAGCAAACTCAAGTTTCCCACAAGCCTGGAAATAATGCATGACCGGACTGTATACAAAAGGGGAGGAGGAAGCACGTGAACTTGGAGACCCACAACTGATGGTCCCTCTAAGCTGTGGAGTCCTGTGCGCAAAAGTTCTGCTTTGTGAGCTACTGGCAGTGAAGCTGTGAGTGAGCAATTTGGCCGCTGCATAAATAAATTTGTACTGGACTCTGGAGCCATTCTCCCTGAGCGGAGACAAAAACGTGTGAGGCCAGAGGCGAAAAAACTGCGAGCCGGCTCACACTAACTCAGTTTAGAGGGAACACTGTGTGTGTCTGTCTCTGTGTGTGTGTGTGAGAGAGAGAGAGAGAGAGAGGCGCTGTCAAGTCGTTTCTGACTTATGGTGACCCTATGAATTCATGTCCTCCAAAATGTCCTGCTGTTAAATAGCCTTGCTCAGGTCTTGCAGACGGAGGGCCTTTGTGGCTTCCTTGATTGAATCCATCCATCTCCTGTCTGCCTTTATAGATTCGACCCACCTCCAGTCGGGTCTTCCTCTTTTCCCGCTGCCTTCATCTCTGCCTAGCCTTATTGTCTTTTCCCGTGAATCTTGTCTTCCCATGCTGTGACCAAAGTACGGCAGCCTCAGGTTAGCTATTTTTGCTTCTGCGAGGAATTCAGGCTTTTTGGTAGTCCTCGGTATCTGTAAAATTCTCCTTTCGACACCGCATTTCCACAAGAATCCTTGGCCATAGCTATGGTGGGGCTATCGTGGGCACTGCCCCCTTCCATAAAGGGCCTGCCCCCTTCCGGGAGAACCGGATTTGATTCCCCACTCCTCCTCCACTTGCACCTGGCTGGATGACCTTGGGCAAGCCGTAGCTCTGGCACAGCTGTTCTTGAAAAAGAGCAGTTTCTGTCCAGAGCCCCACCCACCTCACAGGGTGTCTGTTGTGGGGAGGGGGAGGGAAAGGAGTTTGTAAGCCGCTCTGAGACTCCTTTGGGGAGTGAAGGGCGGGGTATAAATCCAATCTCTTCTTCTTCTTTCTTAGAGGGCCCCTACTTCTTAAAGGGCCCACCTGCATCTTCCCAAAAGCATTTAAAGGGATCCTTTAAATGCTTTTGAGAAGGGGGTGGCGTGCCCCCCTCTCCCTTCCCTCCTGCAAGATTTCAAGGGCCCTCCAGCTGATCGGTGGGCCACTTGCTAAGGGCCCTTTAAGAACATAAGAGAAGCCAGTGTTGGATCAGGCAAGTGGCACATCCAGTCCAAGACTCTATGTCACACAGTAGCCAAAAATACCAGGGTCCATCAGGAGGTCCAGCAGTGGGACCAGGACACTAGGAGCCCTCTAGAAGCCACTAGAAGGCCCTTTAAATCTTGCAGGAGGGGAGGGAGAGGAGTGTGCACTACCCGCCCCCCCGCTCCAGCAGAAAAAAATTTGCCCCACCAGCCACAAAATCCTGGCTTTGGGTCTGAATGACTCCCCTTTCTTCCTAATAGCTTTCTTCATTGTCCAGCTTTCACACCCATAGATAGTAATGGGGAACACCATGGCACGAATTAACATGATCTTGGTCGCCAGCAACACAATCCCGGCACTTAAGAATCTTTTCTAGCAAGATCCTTAGCTTTTAAGTAGTCTTAGGAGGGTGGCCATGTTCGTCTGCGGCAAAAGAGGAGGATTTGCATCCAGTAAGGTTAGGTAAAGATTTCCCTTGCTCGAAAGCCAGTCAAATCTGGCTCTAAGGATGCGGTGCTCATCTCCGTTTCCAAGCTGAGGAGCCAGTGCTGTCCAAAGACGTTTCTGTAGTCATGTGGCCGGCATGACTAAGCCCCGAGGCTCATGGAACGCTGTTACCTTCCCACCGAAGTGGCATCTATTTATCTACTTGCAATTTCTTGCTTTTGAACTGCTACATTGGCAGGTGCTGGGGCCAGAGACGGGAGCTCGCTCCGTCATGCGGCACTCGGGTCTCGAACTGCCGAACTACCGACCTTCTGGATCAATGTTCCCTCTAAGCTGTGGAGTCCTGTGAGCAAAAATTCTACTTTGTGAGCTACCGGCATTAAAGTTGTGAGCGAGCAATTTGGCTAGTTTGCTCTGGAGCCCTCCTGCCTGAGCTAAGACAAAAATGTGTGAGCTGGAGGTTAAAAAACTGTGAGCTAGCTCACACTAGCTCAGCTTAGAGGGAACACTGCTTCCGGTCGGCAGTTCAGCTTCTTAACCACTCGAGCCACCTCATCCAGTAGCGAGGTACAAATCTGCAAGATTTTCGGGCAAGAGGTTTTGAGATACAAAGCTCCCTTTGGCAGAGGGAATCTTATCCCTCGAAAACCGAGTTGGTCTCTGAAGTGCTACCAGACTTGAATCTAGTCTTTAAAAAGGAGCCTCTTAATGTGGACACCTGTGCAGCAGAGTGCAAAGCAGCCCCGAACAACTGAACTCTTTGTCTACAAAGCACAATTCCCTCTGCCCTCAAAGGTCGCAAGCCTCCAAAGCTTCGAGAGAAACCTGCTAGCAGAGATCTTTTTAAACCAGAGATGTGGGCAGGCAGAAGCCGATTCCCAAACACCTTTGGGCTGCTGCCCTGGGCTTCTCCCGCCACTACGGCACATACCTTCAGGTCTTTGTTGAGGCCAATGACGCAGGTCGGGGTGAAAGCCAGCGACAAGAAGTGGGAGAGCGGGAACCAGAACCAGAACTGAGTGAAGACCAGAACTCCGACCACCGAGGGCATGTGCGTGTGCCCGGTCCGCGACTGCAGGGAAATGGTGACGTTGTGACCGCCTGGGGAGAGAGGAGGAAACAAAGAATAAGAACATTAGAACCTCAGAAGAGCCCTGCTGGATCAGACCTGTGGTCCATCTAGTCCAGCATCCTGTCTCACACAGTGGCCAAGCAGTTCCTTTGGAGGGCCAACTACAGGGCATAGAGGTCGAGGCCTTCATAAGAACATCAGAAGAGCCCTGCTGGATCAGACAAATAGTCCGTCTAGCCCAGCATCCTGCCTCACACAGTGTCCAAGCAGTTCCTCTGGAGGGCCAACAACAGAGAAGAGAGGCCGAGGCCTTCATTAGAACATAAGAAGAGCCCTGCTGGATCAGACCAGTGGTCCCTCTAGTCCAGCACCCTGTCTCTCACAGTGGCCAAGCAGTTCCTCTGGACAGCCAACAACAGGGCACAGAGGACGAGGCCTTCATAAGAACATGAGAAGAGCCCTGCTGGATCAGACCAGTGAGGGTCCACCCAGTCCAGCATCCTTTCTCACACAGTGGCCAGCTGGTTCCTCTAGAAATCCAACAACAGGGCACAGAGGCCGAGACCTTCCCCTGATGTTGCCTTCTGGCTCTGGGATTCAGAGGATCAGCGCCTCTGAATGTGAAGGTCCCATGGCTACGAGCCACTGATAGACTTATCCTCCATGAATCTAGCGGTGGTCACGTGGAGTGACCGTACCCCATCTGTTCCCAAAGGGGATGATGGCACAAATCAGAGGGTAGGATGGCTTGAGAGGAGGCCAGACAGTAAAAATGACAAGCCACTTATCTTACCCCGTCTCAAAGAGCCCCTCTATGAAGCCAAGGGATGGGGGGGGGAGTGGACAGGTTCTCATTTACCGAGTACTAACTTAGTACAGCTCCATGCCCTGACCTGGATCGACCAGACTAGTCCAACCTCATCAGATCTTCTAAACTAAGCAGGGAGACCACCAAAAAAAAGTCCACATGATATACTGCCTGCAAACTCACATTATCATAAATGGTTATTGGCTTCATAGAGGGGCTCTTCGAGACGGGGTAAGATAAGTGGCTTGCCAAGCAGATGCTCTACCACTGAGCCAGGGTCTTAGATCGAGGTCTGCCCTTTTTAAATACAGATGTCTGGGATGGGACCTGGGGGCCTTCCGCATGCTGGGCATATTGGTCTGCCCCTTTCCGTTTCACCACCATGTGGATGTGGCCGAATGTGCGGCAAGAGGGCCATCCCCAGCGCCCACTCCCTCCCTGTCCCCCACCCCATTCTTCCCGCAGCCAATCTGCCCTAGTTCTCCTCCGGGAAGAGGGGAGAGACGTCCAGAAGGGCTCACATTCCCTCCACCCGCTTCCTCCTTCCTCAGGCTGATCAACGCCGGCAGTGGCAGAATCAGTCCCGCCAGATCACCGACGCCCCTTAATTCCATCCTCGCGCAGCGGAGATCAGAGCCGCTTGTCAGGTTGAGGCAAGGCAGAAGCATCCGGCTCGCGATCCGAAGAGAAAGGTTAGGCCCGCAGAGAGCGCGGGAAGGTGTTAATCTGATTCTGGCCGATGGAGCCCAAGAGAGCAGCGAGCAGCTCTGTTGCTGCTGACGAGGCCGAGCGGGAGGGCCGGGCCGGGCTGAAATGCAATCAGCTTCGAGGCCCTTTAGGCGGGAGAGTCACGACCCCACAAAAACATTCCTCCACCATGAACGGGCACCTGTACCAGGCGGGGGAGTGTGTGGAGGAGGCAGTGGTTGGGAGGGGGGCAGCCCTGTTTGTTTGCTACAACCATCAAGAATGTAAGAAGCGCCCTGCTGGATCAGACCAGGGGTCCCTCTAGTCCAGCATCCTGTCTCACCTAGTGGCCAACCAGTTCCTCTGGAGGGACAACAGCAGGGCACAGAGGCCAAGGCCTTCACTAGAACATCAGAAGAGCCCTGCTGGATCAGGCCACGGGTCCATTTAGTACAGCATCTTGTCTCACACAGTGGCCAGCTAGTTCCTCTGCAGGGCCAACAACAGGGCATAGAGGCCAAGGCCTTCCTAAGAACATCAGAAGAGCCCTGCTGGATCAGGCCACGGGTCCATTTAGTACAGCATCTTGTCTCACACAGTGGCCAGCTAGTTCCTCTGCAGGGCCAACAACAGGGCATAGAGGCCAAGGCCTTCCTAAGAACATCAGAAGAGCCCTGCTGGATCAGGCCACGGGTCCATTTAGTACAGCATCTTGTCTCACACAGTGGCCAGCTAGTTCCTCTGCAGGGCCAACAACAGGGCATAGAGGCCAAGGCCTTCCTAAGAACATCAGAAGAGCCCTGCTGGATCAGGCCACGGGTCCATTTAGTACAGCATCTTGTCTCACACAGTGGCCAGCTAGTTCCTCTGCAGGGCCAACAACAGGGCATAGAGGCCAAGGCCTTCCTAAGAACATCAGAAGAGCCCTGCTGGATCAGACCAGTGGGGGTCCATCTGGTCCAGCATTCCGTCTCTCACAACAGGGCACAGAGGCCAAGGCCTTCGTGAGAACATCAGAAGTCCCCTGCTGGATCAGACCAGTGGTCCATCTAGTCCAGCATTCCATCTCACTCAGTGTCCAAGCAGTTCCTCTGGAGGGCCAACAACAGGGCAGAGAGGCTGAGGCCTTCATAAGAACACAAGAAGAGCCCTGCTGGATCAGCCCAGTGGGGGTCCATCTGGTCCAGCATTCCGTCTCTCACAACAGGGCACAGAGGCCAAGGCCTTCGTGAGAACATCAGAAGTCCCCTGCTGGATCAGACCAGTGGTCCATCTAGTCCAGCATTCCATCTCACTCAGTGTCCAAGCAGTTCCTCTGGAGGGCCAACAACAGGGCAGAGAGGCTGAGGCCTTCATAAGAACACAAGAAGAGCCCTGCTGGATCAGAACAGTGGTCCATCTAGTCCAGCATTCCATCTCACTCAGTGTCCAAGCAGTTCCTCTGGAGGGCCAACAACAGGGCAGAGAGGCTGAGGCCTTCATAAGAACACAAGAAGAGCCCTGCTGGATCAGAACAGTGGTCCATCTAGTCCAGCATCCTGTCTCACACAGTGGCCAGCCAGTTCCTCTGGACAGCAAACAGCAGGGTATAGAGGCCAAAGCCTTCATAAAAACATACAAAAAGTCCTGCTGGATTGGACCAGTGGTCCATCTAGTTCAGCATCCTCCTGTCTCAGCCAGTGGTCAGCCAGTTCCTCTGGACAGCAAACAGCAGGGTATAGAAACCCGGGCCTTCCCCTGATGTTGCCTCTTGGCTCTGGGGTCCAGAGGATTAGTGCCTCTGAATGTGGAGGTTCCCCTCAGCCACCATAGCCAGTAGCCACTGATCACCCTCTCCTCCACAAATGTATTGAATCCCCTTTTAAGGCTGTCTGTGCCTGCGGCCACCGTTACATTCCCTGGCAGCAGATCCCACATTTTAATCACTCTCTGTGTAAAGTAGTATTTCCTTTTGTGCGTCCTGAATTTACTGCCCATCAGCTTCACTGGACGGCGGTGCCCTTGAGTTTTAGTGTCTGGGGAGAGGGAGAAGAATTTCTCTTTGTCGACTCTCTCCACCCCATGCATAGTGTTAAAAGCCTCTATCAAGTCCCTCTTCAGTTATCTCTTTTCTAAACTGAAAAATCCCAGACTCTTCAGCCATTCCTCATGGGGAAAGTGCTCCAACCGCCTCCTCACCTTGGTCGCTTTTCCCTGCTCTGTCACATCCTGTGGGAGATACAGTGAACCGGAACGATGCTCGGTATTCCAAATGAGGTCACACCTTAGATCTACACAGGGGCATTAGAATACTGGGTGTCTTATTTCTCAATCCCTTACCTAACAATCCCGAACGCAGAGTTTTTCCTCTATGCAACTAGAAATTGACTGCCACAGGAAGTGGTGGCGGCTACAAGCATGGACGGCTTCAAAAGGGAATTAGATAAGCCTATGGAGCAGAGGTCCATCAGTGGCTATTAGCCACAAGGT